CCGCGACCGAGCGACGAGCTTTTCGCGTATTAATGCACGATGCACGCTAGCACGAGAGAACTATACGGAACAAACTTCTCTCGTGTATAGCCTGAGTTTCTATTGTTTCCAGAACACACGCGTCGCGTGAAGGCTGGCGCGGTTCGGGGGACATTCGTAGGGCGCATGTGAAACATAGAAAGCAAAAGATAAACAGTATTCCTCGTGCTCTAATGTACAGAATATCCCGGATGATTTGAACGGTCGTACGTTAGACCGATACACATAACTTCTTCTACGAATTCGTTAAAATTGCTCCAGACTCGGTTTTTCTTAGTTGCAATATTTCCATACAGCACACAAATGTTGAATCAACATCTCAGAAACGTTCCATTACAACATTGCAATATTGCATCAATGTTACGAAATGTAGATTCAACGTTGAAAAGATATTGCAAAAACGTGTAACGTCCGCTGAATTGTAATTTGTTGTAATTTGCTGAATTGTTATGTTGAGTTAACATTAGTTGCGTTTAGCAGAATATTTTTTACAACTGTCGGAAGTGCTGAAATGGGATTATTCCTCTGAAAATTTCTGATCGTTGCAAAAATTATATATATATATATATATACAGGGTTGGGAAGTAACTCGTTACTTGTAACGAAGTTACAGATACAGTTACTTCTTTTTAGCAACTTAACTTTGTTACTTTCTCTCCATCTGTAGCTGTACCTTAATTCAGTTACATTGTTTGACCTGCAAGTCTTTAGTTAAAACCGCGACCCGATAGGTCCGATTTGGGGTTGTCGCGCGCGATTTAATAGGAATTTAATAGGGGTCTGTTTAATCTCGCACATATGCGAGAATATGTAAAGATAAGGATATATATCCCACCCGAATTTTGACAAATAAGAAGAAATCAACTTATTTCGTATGTACATCACCTTATTTACATATCCCATCAAAGTGGCCAATATTATTGACTTACCGCGTTGTCGGGCCAGATTGGACCTATCTTTCGTCGCTTCTGGCCATACAGTCTGGTCATTTTGACCAGAGATCAGGAAGGAAGAAAACTCCTTCCATAGTCGGTTTATTATCGTCGCAGACAGATATTTCGTACGGTTCGAACTACATACGAGTGTCGATCGTATTGAAATGCACGAACACGAGAAGTTAAATAAAGAAGAAAATTAATTTAAAAAATTTGCTGCATAAAACTAATCAAGTATATTTTTACCTCCGTTATTTATTCAAGAATAGATAATGACTGTCTCTTCGTGACTCAATCTCCAATTTCGAAATTCAAGTGCATATGTATGTAGAAAAAATAATTTAGTTCGCGTTATATTTATTTTAATAATACGTTTCGTGATAAATTAAAATTTATAATAAAAAGTACTGACTCACCATCCGAAGCGCAGCAGCGGAGTTAGCTCTGATGTTTCTGTAACACACAAATATAGAATTAATTAAAAAAGTGTTTAAGAAAATTAATATTGTGAAATATAAATAATTTTTATGCATATTAAACGTTTTATTTGGTTGGATATTTAAATGATTAATTCGCAAAATATTTTGCGCATAAGATCTTCACACGAATAAACTTTTATAAAATTTTAAATTATTTTTCGTTCTCTAATTACTATTTCGAAGTTATAGAATTATGAAATAAAATGACTCAAAAATGAACTGGAAAAAGATTAATTGTACACAAAATAAAAAATATTTACCGTAAAGTTGCTCCGCCGGCGCTCGATGCCTGTCCCGGGCCTCCTCCTCCACTCGGATTGTTCTCCGGCACACTCGCGAAAACACAAAGATCGTTCGCGCGATTTTACACTCCCGTTTATAAAGCTTAGGTGAGGGTATTCTGTTCTATCAAGTTCGCCTCCACTTCGAGTCGACGAGTATTATGCCCCAAAAACTGTCAAACTCAAAGTGTGGCCATTGACAGGAACGGACATTTAACGAATACTTGTTCCTCAAATAGGCTTTGAAAAGTCTGTGGTTCGATTGTTTAAACGGCACTCCCGAACGCGACGAAAATCGAAACTTTATGTTACACGCGTAATTTTGCACGTGTAAATGTTAGAGAGATTACATTACATATTTCTCGGCAAGCGATCAATATGTTAAAATTTTTCGTTATTATTTTACCCGACGATTCATATGTTACTTTGCGCTTTTGATCTGAAAGTGACAAATGTTTAATTTGAACCGACGAAAATTTTAAAGCACGACGTAAGAGAGATTCATCCGAGTTTGATTGTCGAAAAAGGTATTATCGCTAATAATTCACGTATGTAATTTCCTTATCGTATTTTCTCTTCAAATTACGCGTGATATTCACCTTGGCAAATCGCCGTAGAAATCAACGATATGTTTATGGATCACGACAATTACTTAAACGCGATTGATGAATATTAATAATTCTTACACGAGACGATCGCGTTGCGTGGGAGATGATCGTGATTCTCGTAGGAAATGAAAGCGCAAAGTAATATATGAATCATCGGGTAAAATGGTAACGAAAAATTTTAATATATTAATCGCTTGCCAAGAAGTAATCTCTGTAACATTTACACGTGCAAAATTACGAGGAGTGACGCGAAGACTCGCGGAACATCCGCCTCGTTCGACTAGGCCTCGTCGACTAATTCCGTACAATAGATTGTTTTCAACCGAAGTGTTCACGCTACGTCATTTCTTGGAACCGGCGCTCGGTTTTTGCCGTGTTGTTTACGGCGAAACACGGTGACGCCGTCCGCAGGATCGTTCACGCGGTGACGTAGTAAAGTTATTTGTATTTCGACTTTCAACATTGCAACGTTTCAGCATTCATTATTTTAACTTTCTGTGCTGTATGGGATTAATTTTCGCACGCTTTCAGAAAAGCGAGTGTTCAGTTGAATAATATTGCAAAAGGACTCCCTAGATTTTTAGGTAATTATGCTGAAAATGTAAGAAATATTTGCAATTACACTAGTATAGAAAGGATTGGAGAAGATATTTCATAAAGTCGCAAAGTTAATCGCCGTTCTTGTTGTTGGCGACAAGTCTTCGGCATAGAAAGCTGTTAGCGCGTTTAACACATGTTTTATCCGATACTTTCACAAAATGTCGGCTAATGTTTGCGCATAATGATGCTATTGTTACGTATATACTTGCAAACTAGCTGTTCTAAATATCTTATCGCCGCGAATATTTAAAGGCACATAATGAATAAAAATAAATTTCTGTTCCGTACAGAAATACTCGAACTTTTATACGAAAGCATCATCATGTTTTTATTATAAATCCATCTGACTACGTAAAAATTACTTTAAGATTTGATGGCGACATGTGCAAAATTTATCTACCGCGAATTAAGATATTTTCTTCATTACAAAATTTCACTTTTGCTAACGAATCGTATAGAGAGGAGATAATCATGTCGGAATACTTTCATTTGTTATTTATTCGTCCAACGACGATATTATCAGTGAATTTGTTCGCGATTCTTATTGTTTAATATTACCTTCCCATCTTTCTCGCGAAAATATTGGCTTAATGGCACCTTATGCACCCGTCTCTAAGCGAAAGTTAGAAAACATCGCGATATAATAACGTGCATCCTGATAATGATTTCTCTTTGCTGGCGACGCTGGCGATTTGTTTTCCATGGTCTCACGTTCATTGTTTCATTGAGAGGTGACAAATGTGCATACTAATGGTTTCAACGCGGATTCTCTCGATTAGGTATTCCGACGTTATCGCTCCACATTCGACCTTAATTATCCCGCATTTTCAAGCAACGCCTGGTTTATTGTTTAGGATGCACCTAGTGCAGTGTCTACATGCCACACGTCGCAGCGTTATTAAAGTGCCAGCTAAATGATCACGAAATGACTTGCTGAATTTCTGCCGCCAGTCGTCTGTTACATTAAAGTCCAGTCTGCAATGTGTTTTTCGCAACGAGAAACATTTTATCTTATACAGGCAAATCAATATGCTTAAAAAATGTATCGACAATTGTGTAATGTATAACATACAGTTTATCAACACGCACAAATTTTTTAAACGTATTTATTGCCTATAAAATAAAGTTTCTAGACGCAAAGAACACATTGTAGATCGGAATACAAGTTTAATACGAGTGCATTCGATGCCAATTTCACGCAATATTTTATCAACTTCAGCGTCAAATTGCTGATTGTATACTGCAAACACTTAGCTTGTTGAAAAATTACGAACGTTTTGCGCACATGTTATTTTTTAATAAAATCACGTGTCTCTGAAAATTGGCGTGTCGCAACGCGACTTCTCGATCCGAGAAATGTGTAGCCGATAATCAACTGCTTTTCTATAAAAGTTGCAAGTTGATTGACTACACATTTCTCGGATCGATTTTTAGCGTCGTGGACGCAAGGGCTTAGGGTCACCATTTCTAACGTTTGTTAATTATCAACTGGAGCTCGATCATAAATCTTTTCCTCTAGCGTGAAAAGTGTATATATTGCGCCAATGAAATTCTTCACTTTTCACGAGCTCACGCTAGAAGAAAAGATTTAATCGAACCTTTCGATCATGAATCTTTTACTCTAGCGTAAATTTGTGAAAAGTGAAAAATTCATTGATAAATATTAAACTCGTCAATTAATATTTATCAATGAAAATTTTAACTTTTCACGAATTCACGCTAGAGAAAAAGATTGACGATTGAGCCCCTGAGATGAAAATTTAATCGCAGACGTAAGGTTTAAGGGCCGATTTCACCAACTCCGTGATTGGTGATCAATTCCAACGAAACACTGAAATTTAATCGACCGATTGAATTAAACGGAGTCGATGAAATCGGCCCTAACTCCTTGTTCTTTTATTCCTTTCTTCGTGCACACGTTTCAAAATGCAGTAGTAAAATAATGAAAAGACTTTTGTACCGGCTGAACTACTTGTTCAACTAATCGTTCGCTATCCCGCCGCCTGATCGCGCCACTAAGCGGTTGCCGTTCACGTGGCGCACGCGGCACGCGATTGGTGATTGATCACGTGACTTAGCGCGTCCTTGATCGTGCGTGGACGGAGCGAAGGACGCTGGGTGATTCGCGAGTGCTGAATGAAGTGTTTGGCGTGCCAGAGCGTCCTTTTAATCGGCAGTAAATAGACGTTTTTCCATAGAGATCGACATGGCTAATCCTAATCTCACGGATATGACGGAGGAGGACGCGGCGGATCTGCAGTTTCCGAAAGGTACATTTATTTCCTCGTCTTAAAACGCAAAGGCTGATAGCCGAGAGCGTTCCGGAAACTCTTAAATCTGCCTTAGTCGTAGTCGTAGGTCAAGGCAGACTTATAAGTCGCGAAAGTTTATTGTATACGACTTAGATTTTTCTCTGCCTCATTTCACGTCTACTACTAAGCGGTTTTTAGCGTTTACGAATCGTTCTCTGCCACTAGCCTTGTGACACGCTGCGGCTAACCTCACTTTCGTGACGCTTGTTGACAACACGACAAGTAGAAATTCATCGCGTGGGCTTATCAAAATAATATCGACTAACTTAACTAATTTGTTTTAACTGTGCTGACATTTACCTGTTAAAGCCTGCAGTCCACTTGGTGCTACAAATGCTGCAAAGCGTTTCTCTTTTTTTTTTTGAAGAGAAAGAGAAAAACACTTGGCAGCATTTGTAGCATTAAGTGAACCGCGGCCAAAGAAAGGAAGCAAATGCAAATGCGATCTGCTACTATTGCGATAACAGTGTCAACATGCCTAACGCTGATGTTACCTTCAAGTCTCGACTCGTGCTGTGAGGCTTGAACACGCGCAGCTTCAAACAAAAATCCGCTGATTTAGACTCGCTTTCCTGCCTGCACCCCCGAGCGGCCGAGACTAAGGTGACGATTTTCCTCTTTCAGACTGTTTATTGAGTCCAACGGACGAGTCTGAGCATGCAGACGTAGAGCTCGAGGTGTCAGTCTCGAAGGATAAAATTTTCGCCTCAGATCCCGTATGCCGCGTGTGCAGGTCCACTCTCGCGGAACCGTACATTCGTTGTGCCATGTGCACCGACGTCGAGATGTGTCCTCCTTGCTTCGCCAGGGGCCGCGAAACCGACGAGCACAAGAACGATCACGACTACGTGATCATAAAAAACGAGTTTCCCCTGATCGATGAAAGCGGCTGGGCCGCGAAGCACGAGCTCGAGTTGCTGGACGTTCTGCAGCAGTGCGGCTTCGGTAATTGGGTGGACGTGGGACGCAGGATGCACAGCAAGTCCGCCGAGGAGTGCAAGACGCACTATTTGCAGCATTACATAAACAATCAGGCTCTGCCGGGCCTGCCGAGGTTCGAGGAGAGTGGAGCCAGTTTGTTTGGCTGCGAGCCGATTCCCTACATGTATAAGTTGCAGGATCTGGAAGAGCCTCCCAGATTCGCGCCGGATACAATTAACGCCAGACTGCTGGCAGGTTATAACGCGGCCAGGTCCGACTTCGTGGTGAATTTCGATAATCACGCGGAATCACTGGTGTCCGATCTCGATTTCGGCGAGTTTCAACCGGACGACGACGCATACGAGTTAGGGCGAGCCTTGCAAGTGGCAATAGTGCAGGCATATAACAACAGATTAAAGGAACGCGCGAGGAGACGGAAAGTTATACGTGACCACGGGCTAATCACGTTTCGCAGGGTCATAACGTCGATACAGAGATATGAGAATACGATAATGAGGCCGTTCGCAGAGAGACTGTTGATCTTCATGCAGCTTGTGGACGGGATAGAATTTGACTACATCATGGAGGGTCTTCACCGCGCCGGCGAGCTGAAAAATCACATCAATAGGTTACTGGAGTTCAGGCGGAACGGGCTCAAGCACTTCTACAGCGTACCCATGTTCCAAAAGCTCAGTAAATTGAGACAGGAGAACGAGCGGGAGAGAAAGCAGTATCTCAACAATCCGGAGTACAGCTGGAGATGTCTATTGCCCGACAGCGTCGCAGCCAGTTGCAGCAGTCCGATTCTCACGCAACGCAAGACCGCGCCCCCCCTTGCCGTAAAGGGTTTACCGGGATACGAGAAACTGAACGCCGATGAGAGAGAGATCTGCTCCGTCGCGAGACTCGTGCCCATCATTTATTTAGACTTTAAGCAGCTTTTAATAACGGAAAACAAGAGGAACGGTCATCTCAGATTGTCCCAGGCCCGTGCCCTCCTAAAATGCGACGTGAACAAAACGCGAAAGATATACGACTTCCTAGTAGAAAAGGGATACATAAACAAGTCAGCATAATGATTATTTTAAAGCAACAAGTTACAGTACGGAGATGTAACGCGCGAATACTGTGATACTACGAATTACGTTATATCAAATGGAGTTGGACATGTACAGAAGAGATAATATAAGGCTTGGCTATTTCTAATAAAGTTTTTGTATGTAGAGAAGTTTGTAAAATGCGTTGCAAGTCCTCGTCTCCTCTATCCTGTTATGTCTATTAAGATTTTCGTTGTTAGTTAAATAACGAAGGCGATGAATTTCTTCACAGAATTTGAAAATGCCGAGACATTGTTGATATCAGAAGTCTACATGCTTCTTGAGCACAGAAAAGCTCAAAATGAGTCGGCGGAAGAGGAACAGGAATTTTCTGAAGTATTCATGAAGAGCTTAACATACACCAACCGATTCGGAAAATTGAAAAATAAAGAGACAATCGCAGCCGTTAGAAGGTAGCTTATATATCTTTCAGTTACTACAGATAAGTCGTTTTTTTAAATGTTGCGTAAAATACTTGTAATATGCTTGTCATGAAATATATAAGTTAAATATAACACTAAATCTAATATTTTTTACATTGTTGCAGTTTGTTGATGCAAAAGAAGTTACACAAATTTGAAATTGCCTCGTTAGCTAACTTGTGTCCCGAAAATCCAGAGGAGGCGAAAGCTCTCATCCCGAGTCTCGAGGGACGTTTAGAAGACGAAGAGCTCAGAACGATATTGGACGATATACAAACAAAAAGATCATTGCAGTATTAAAGTAAATATATCTCATTTTCTCGTCTTTCTTTCCTTCCACATAAATATCTCCAATACGGAGTAAAATCTCATTTCAATGGACTTTGCTCTAATGAAAGTATATTGGTTTATTCATATATCGCTGTAAGCATTGGCACAATGTTTCATTAAATGTTATTTTAGCACATTTATTATAATTATATTTTACCCTATTAAATTTCTGCGGCATTCAATTATACCGTCACTAATTAAGCTGCAATTGTCGATTCATGTCGTAATTACTTGAAGAAAGGCAGTGTTTTGTAAATTAATAAAATGCAAAAAAGATTAATATACTTGTAGACTTACTTGTAGAAAGACAGTGTTTTGTAAATTAATAAAATGCAAAAAAATTGTCCTGGACCAAGTGTATAATCTTTTGTTGCGAAGATTTCTTTTAGAAATCTTAATGTACTAAAATTTGCGCGAAGAAATTCTCTTAATAATTGTTACGACGAAATGCATTCATTAGCTTACCATATATAACACTTAAAAAAATTCTATCTACTTTGATACAAGTTTAGTAAGACTGCTGCTTAATAAGAAAGTCACTCGCAATCAGAGAGCTCGTATTCAGTTACTCAATTCCGGTAATTTACGATGAGACGAGACAACTCGCGAAAGAAGACAGCACTAATCGTGTTGACGACAACCATGTATTAGCAACGAGGAGTAATTATGGTTGGCTTGGCATGAAATAGTGAGCTCTTATTATTATCCCGTAGAATTCTTGGGTACCTGGCAGCGAGGTAACTCGTACGATCTGCTGCTCTTTTTAGCAAAGCTGAGCTCGCGATAAGGATCGATGATGTCGTTCTACCTATCATTTACCGCGAATCGTAATAGGTACTCCTCGCTATACTTTTTGCATTGAAATATGATAATCTTCTTGTTCATCTCTTTTCCCCCCTTACTGATTTTGCTAGAAATGTATTCTCGCACTCGCGCGGCGTATTTTTGAGGGGTTAAATTATCATGAAATAAAATATACATACATGTTTTTAAAATTCTAGTTCAAAGATACTGAAGACAATAAAGAGACCTACGGCATCGGCTTTATTCTTTCTCTTGTCGCGTTAGCACGCGCCATCTCTTCGATATTTAAATCTCACTCGATAAAAGAGTTATAACGTGAGTCTTATGTTAATACTAAATTCAAAACGATAATAAACGAATGGATGCTTTAAAAATAATTAATCAATTACGACTGAAAAACTAAATATTACATAATTGATATTTTTTAATTATTATATTGAAAACATTTAATGAATGTCGTAAAAGCAGTCGTAAAATGTTCGGCCGAAATTAAAATATTGCAATAATTATTATCTTTGATAAAATATCCGGTTAAAAAAAATCCAAATTAGATCGAGTAATTTATTTTTACTGCCAGTTTTCTTATTTTTGCTTTCTATTTCGCGTAATTGTATCCATCGAATGCGAACGAAATAATGCAAAAATGACACGTGACATGTTATTTTATAGCTCGTAGTATGTAACTTTTTTTCTCACAGTGCTTACGCATTACTCAGTCCCGTTTACATGCAAATTTTTCAAGTCAAATAAAAGTGATTAGATAATATCGAATAGTTGAGACCTCTTTTCCATGATGCCGATTAGTTTTCCCGAAGCGCGGTGTGCTTCACTTCTCTTTTGGATTCATAGTAAATGAAGATTTGCAATTTAGAAATATACATTTGTATACATTAACTATTGAGGTAAAATCTCTAATCTTAGTAATTAGAATTTAAGTAACAACGATATTTGTTTCGAAACATTTTCTCGGTTGAACAGAATTAATACCAATAAGTCCGCAGAACGATACGCAAAACGTAGTAACTATCACTGAACAAAGTAATTTGAAATATTAGGTATAGTTTTTTCAGTTTTTTCAGTAGGCGGGCCAACGAACTCTCAACGTTTTTTGTTGTTTTTCACTCGGCGCGGTGACGTACGATGTTTTGCGTGTCATCGTGTATTTGAAGGTCGCTGCGTTCTCACTCGCTCGCCGAACGTCGGGCCGGCAGGCAGTGGCGAGAGTCGCTCCGTGCGTCGTATTACTTTCGCGTTATCGGTCTCCAAGACTCGATCGTGATAAAAGCAGGGATAAAACTCTATTGAATTGCACATCTTCATTAGTAACAAGTAACGTTCCACGATTAATTAGTAAGTTTTTACAACTTATAGGTAATGAGAAACGAATTGTATATTGAGGCGACGTCTCTTTCTCAACGTATACATAGATATTTCACGAGACTAATAACCGTTTCTACCAACGCAGTTTAACTTTAATCTTGGCTCAACTTACTTTGCATCTTTTTCTAGTTTTACTAATTGGAAAAAGACAAGCGGTAATTTAAGCCGAGATTAAAGTTAATCTGCACTGGTAGAAACGGGCATAACTCATCTAAAATATACATGTAAACCGTGGTACTTCGTCGCGGTTACATCTCGTTTACGCACCGCGCTTTTAATTATCTATCGATTTCGTGTAATCTGTTCCATCTTCGGGAAAAGAGAGAAATTTGTACGACTTCGGCGTTTGCGCTGTCGTTCTTCGCAACTCGAACGGGCAAGAAGTTAAGAAAGTCGCTTAGAGTAATTTGTATGACAGAAAATCACGCGATATTTATTAATACTATTTCGTGTGTTTCGTGGTATTTCACATCGCGTACGGGAGTGTCCGAAATTTCGCGTGATCGGTGATTTTCGCGAGTGATGTGTGAGTGCAACAAGGAAATCTGAGAGGAGGAGGAGGCTCAGGAGGCATCGGGCAACAGCGGAAAAAACGTGAGGTAAGTGTCTTACATTTTTATGTTATCTGCTACTTGTGCGAAATAAACTGTGTTTTTATTTGATTTATTCAAATGATTCGAACGACGATTCGAATAAATGTTGGAGACAAAACCATACGTATACAATTTTGTGAGTTTATACTTAAAAGAAAGACTTTTTCAGTATCTTATATAATTATTTGAATAAATATCTTTTAAAAAAAATATAAAATATAAAATATATTTAATACAATAATTTTGATTTTACATAATTAGTTTATATCTAATCATATCTATATTTGTATGTTTACAGTTTAACATATATGTATAGTTAACGATGTACAACTCTGCTGTTTGCCAATCTTATCAGTGAGTGATAAATTACTTTTTATTTTAAATTGACGTTGCGCATACAATTACTTGTTTGCATGTATACAAATTTTTTAAAATATACAATGCTCAACCACAAACTGCGCGCGCGGAGCGCGCGTTTTGTCATTTTTAGTAAACTATAAAAATGAAATGAGGAAACAATATATTATATTACAACAATACAATAATACATATTACAAACATAATTATATCAATATTTTACAATAATATTGCTACAATATTACTGAAGTAATGTTGTAAAATAATGTCTCTGCAATATCTATAATGTACCATTACACTGCGATATGCAATGTTGCAGCAATGTTGTTGCAAGCTTTTGTGTTGGGTGGGATAATATCGTGCAAAGTGTTTATACATACCGGGCATAATGACTCTCGCATTAGTGGCGAGAAGAGCGGCGCCGTCGTAGGCGACACGTAGTAATCGGCAACAGCCACCGCTCTCACGAAGAAGCCTCTTAAAATAATTACGATGGCCCTTAATCGTCTGTAAACTCGGAGAAAATACTCCTGGTTTTACCATAGTGAATTGCGTGCGACTAGTGGTCGATCGTGGAATCGACATGATCGGGGAAACGCTATCAAAACGATGGGATCGATGAAATCGATCGTACTGAAATAGCACCGTCCGCATTCGCGATGAGGCCATTATTGGGAAATGAGAAATTTATATACACTATGATATAAATAACGCAACGAGATTCTAACGATTTAGCAATTTCTCATAGAGATGAATTATTTTATCGTTCTATTTTTGGCCTCGTTTTTTTTGCAATAAGTATTATTTTTAACGATTCTAACAATAAAACCATAATGGAAAATAAAATCGTCTCGTACCTCGCGATCCGCCTTAATGTTAATGTAAAACTTATTATACAAAATCTCCATATAATGTCTACAAATTAAGCACTTTAGTACAATTCTGCTTAATTTTTCTATCTCGACTAGCCATTCTTTCGCAATTTGGATCAACATGCAAATCAATTGCACTCTAGAAACGCTTATAAAGTATCGCAATGGATTAATTGAACACCGCTAAGAGACTCATTGTCGCGTTTTTTTTCTAATATGACGTTATTTTCTTAAAATCGCGTGGTAGGTGCAAGTTACGGAACATGCTCTAGAGGCTAGAATAGAACTATTGAAATGTGCAACAAGTCTATATATTTCGTGCGGCGAGTCTGGGAGCCAATCGATGGAATCAATTTGTATAATGTATACA